ATTTATGAAGACGACTGCCTGAAGAAAACATGCAAATTTCCACAGTCATTGATGATATGGGGCTGCATGTCAGGTAAAGGCACTGGGGAGATGGCTGTCATTACATCTTCAATAAATGCACAAGTTTACGTTGACATTTTGGACACTTTTCTTATCCCATCAATTGAAAGGATGTTTGGGGATGATGAAATCATTTTTCAAGATGATAATGCATCTTGCCATAGAGCAAAAACTGTGAAAACATTCCTTGAAGAAAGACACATAAGGTCAATGTCATGACCTGCAAATAGTCCGGATCTCAATCCAATTGAAAATCTTTGGTGGAAGTTGAAGAAAATGGTCCATGACAAGGCTCCAACCTGCAAAGCTGATCTGGCAACAGCAATCAGAGAAAGTTGGAGCCAGATTGATGAAGAGTACTGTTTGTCACTCATTAAGTCCATGCCTCAGAGACTGCAAGCTGTTATAAAAGCCAGAGGTGGTGCAACAAAGTACTAGTGGTGTGTTGAAGTGTTCTTTTGTTTGTTTGTTTTTCATGATTCTATAATTTTTTTCCTTGGAATTGAGTGATTCCATAATTTTTTCCCTCTGCTTGGTCTAAAAAAGTAACTGTTACTGACTACCGCAATTTTTTTTCTTGATTTCTTTTAGTGTTTCTTAAAGCCAGAAAGTTGCCATTTGAAATGACTTTAGTTTTGTGTCATGTCTGTGATCTGCTTTTTTTCTACAAAATTAAACAACTGAATGAACATCCTCCAAGACTGGTGATTCCATCATTTTTGCCAGGGGTTGTAGATCTACAACTGACCAGTCTATCCGTTGATTAAATTTCTGGATGTACATAGCGGATTTAGATGAAAAACTTTTGAGGTACTCGTAGAAAGAGTCCCTCCATATGACATTGCCAAATCAGAGATAATAGCAAGGTACGTGTCCAGCTCTTGTCTGCGTTCAGGAAAGACCTCACAAATAGTGTCTCTAAAGACACCAAAAGCCACATTGAACTCAGCTAGTGTCAGTGATTTTGACAATCTAGGGTCATTATCCTTTTAAAAAGACAGAGAAGTCGCCGCAGTCCACCATCCGTTTATCTGATGTGTCAGAAGCACAAATCAAAATCTTGACCAGATTAACCTCCTGCCCTAATAAAACAGCAAGCATAGAGCAATCAGATTAAAATGCGAATATGGCAATAAAAAATAAAAAAAATAAATAAAAAGGAAATCAAGACTGAGCTGCATACCTGCGATAATCTGGTTCCTGAGAGCATCAGGAATAGCCCCAGCTGGGGACAGAAACGGCACACCTGTAGTTGGCGCAGGAACTGCAGTTCCCAGAGTCCTCCGGGGCAAGGACAGGGGCTCGGCCGATGACGTTGAGGGTTCCCCGCATGGAGGGAAAGCGGAAGTGGAGCCTGCTGCGGTGGATTCAAGCACAACAAGACAATTATTCACGCTGATTAAGGAGGAATTAATAGTGGACAGAGCCGACAACAGTTCATCATTCAGGTGAACAAACACCTGAGTGGAAGACAATTTCCCCTTCTTCAGGGGAGTGTAAGTAGACTTCGCTGCATATTTTTTGGCAGGGGCTTTCCCCTTCTTGCTTTTCGTGGCGGGGCCCTCTGGCTCTGGATCTTCAATTGCACCAGGAACGTGCTCTACAAGAAACTCGAACATTTCTTCATGACTGAGCCCGCATGGAGCAGAGACGCCGCCGGCATACAGAGTCTTGAGGATCCGGATCGTGGGCCAGTCTCTCAGTTGCTTGAGAACCAGGTGAGAGCTGCGACGAGGAGCTGCGGGAAGGGCTCCCTGATCCCCAGAAGGAGAAGGCGCTTCGTTGTCGGTGTCTGACTCGGATGAGATGGAGGACATGATGGCAAGGATCAGAGGCCCCAGTAACATCAAGATGAAAAACTTCATAGGCAGCACACAGCAGCGGCGGCTGCAGCTAGCGCAGCAGACACAGCAGGATCAGCAGCAGAGGAGCAGAACACACAGAATCAGCAGCAGAAACAGCAGCACACAGCAGCGGCAGCAGCAGCAGCAGCAGCAGCAAGAGCGGCAAAGAATGATCAGGTAAGCACAGGGGGTTTAAATAGCCCGCCCTATCAGCTGAGGAGAGCATGTGGCTGATCAGCTGATCAGTTGAGTTGGTGCTCCGCAGGCTTCGCATCATTTCTGCAACTTATCAATGTTTTGTTTTAACAGGGTTAAAGCAAAGTATCATTCAGATAAAAACATGATTATGCACGTGTACAAGTCAGGACATGGCAAATGGCCAACAAAGAGGAACAAAAAGAATAATCTCACTTCCAACATACATTTCAATTTTATCACACAGAAGCATTTGGTCAGAGAGGGGATGGGGGAAGTATCCTAGGGCTATTGTGATGGCAAGTATGGTGTCGGGGGTCAACCATGCATGGTTGATGGGTGGACTAGGGACCTGGCTAGATGAGGCAGTCTCCTTGAGCATGTCATCAACCGGAGTTAGATCAATCGTTTGAGCGCCTTTATATTGTACCTGAGTTACTGTGTCTGGATCTAACTCCAAGTTGTGTTGGCTGAAGAACTTGAATACCTCTATCTAGCTCTCGTACTGATCGGGGTTCAGATGGTAAAGAGGTAAGTCCTCTATATGTAAAATGGCATTCTCTGGTACAGTGATCCACAGCATCTGGCCGGGCAGTGCGATGTGGGTAGTGGTGTCATGTTGGTTGTATGTTAGAACAGCAGTGCTACCTGGAGTGTTGACTAGCCAGCAGCCTCCTACAATCTCAGCCTGAGTGTTGGTGACCTGAGATCGGGATGTTACCGTTGTTGGGCACTGGGCATCTGGTGCCATAGACTTGAGGCCACATACCCCATCTGTGCTATCGCGGATAAACGGCCTACTGGGAC